GGAAAAGAAACATATATTCAACTAGTAGTATTATATTCGTTATCCCTATGGATTGGTTCGTCCAGGTACTTCCTAGCAGAGCGTCACAATGAGAGTATAGAGATGCTGAATGAGGCTGTGGTGATATGGCCGGAGAACCTCCGATTCAAGTGAGCATCGCATGGCCTAGTCTGCGTGGCTCATAGGATAGCAGATATAACCTGGCTATGGTATTGGAAAACTATGCAGCTGCATCACTCTTGGATAGTACGAAGAAGAATCAAGCTGAATGGGTTAAGAAGGCCCTACTTATGGTGAGCTAATACTCTGTCGCAGTGCGGGAATATATGTTTGATTTTTCTCAACTGAGCTTGTAAGTTTCTTCACTGCATTAGGGAAATCAACACGATTTTGGGTAGAAGTGTACGAAAACCATATTTCTAGCAGTACATGTAGTTGATCATGTATCCCCGCACAGCTCTGTCGAGTATATAATATATTTTCGATCAGGTGAGGTGTGCCCTTGGACATTTCCGGTCAATTGAAACCATTGCTGGTACGACGCCAACACAAGCAATTCCGAGGATTCTGAAACGGAAAATATTCAATGTGACGTATATCAATAACCCTGAGAGTAAGTGATATATGGAAATGTGAAATTTCCATTTTCGCTGGTTGGCGTGGATTTTTCCTTAATCAGCATTTATGAAGGAGATGAAGTCCCCCGAGGACATATTCTCCAAGGCTTTCAAAAGACACTTTGAATATCTCCGGGATACGGTAAGACGGTTGTATCGAAGTTATGGTATCGACGTGATGTGGTTCAGTCGAGGAAAGCGGAGGATTGGCTGCGTAAACTGGAGTCGACGCAGAGTCAACACGAAGAGACTATGAGGTTGCTGGTGGAGGAGAGGAAGGAGCGGTAGGGGGAAAATTGTGAAAATGTGTTTTAACAACGCTTCGCTAAATCGAGTCGTTTTGTTACTTTTTTTATCATTATAAATTTGTGAAATCATCGAGCAGTAGGTAAAGTTTGTATATTGTGCACAGAGAGTGATGTATGGTATTAGTATTATAATATACCACTCTATGTATGCAATGGACTTTCGCCCGGGTCTACGCGAAGTGGCGTAAAACTCGGTGAAAAAGGTGATATTTGCGCGATGCAGTAGTCGCGAAATATGTTCTTCACTGGGGTTTTTCATATCACGGGTGAAACTCCAATGTATAAATTTCATATATCACATTATCGTCGTAGCCACATTTGCGATAATGTGCCCGTAATGTACGTCGTTGAATGGATGGTTCACCTGTTTAGGGTGGAAAGAGAGAGACGCGACCGCGAGGCTAGGGAGGAGGAGGAAAGGAAACGTAGAGAGGTAGGCAGAGTTATGGTAACACAGTAGAAATGACGACGTGATGTGTACAGGAACTGGACCGAGAAGCTGAGAGTAGAATGGATAATATCCGCTCTAGTGTGGCTAATATGGGCCAAGAAGAGGAGGAGGTTGGTTACTCATTTTTCTTGCGGTCATCTGTCTACCTGGCATTCCCGATGGGGGTGTTTGAAACATTGGGATGGTATGGGAAAATTGGATTTTCCGATATCATTACAAAATAAATTTATCTCAATTTTCCAGAAATAAATTTATCATTTCTATTTGACTATTTTCTATACCAATAAGCATGAAAATAAATTCATGGTTTATTTGTATGAAAAATGCACTCCATTTATTATTTCTGGTGGATTGGAATCCCGAAAGCAATATTTTCTTCTAATTTTTTGTTTTTTTTAATTTTTTTCCTTTTTTGGAGTTTTTTGTTTTTTTATTTTTTTGATTCTTCTTTATTTTTTCGATTTTTTACGATTTTTTTATTTTTTCGATTTTCCGATTTCTTCCGCTTCCTTAGGAGGAGGAAGCTGCAGCGGGGAGGAAGCGCAAACGATCCGCA